CCCCCCCCCGAAAGGGAAGAGAGCCTGAATGGGGGACAGACAGATGACCTGTATGAGGACACCAGACGAGAACCAGGGGAAGATCTCAGACAGACAAATGCCCAGGACAGACAGACACCCAGTGGAAAGAGGCGACCTCAGGGTGGACGCCAGGCAGCACCAGAGAGCAGAGGGTGGAATGTGGTTTATGGGACGTGGGAGCCTGAGGAAGAGATGGAGACTTGCCAGGGAGCCCCGAACTCTCAGGAGTCGGGCACTGAGGATCCCCCGACAGAAGGTGAGCGACCCCAGCCATGGCTGCCTGACCTCAGGGGAGCAAGGGCCCGCCTGGGATCCATGCACTGGACTTTGGGCACCTGTGCCGGCTTCTCCTGAGGTAAGGGGCTCCCGCGATGGACGCTGCCCCAGTGACCTCCCGTCTCTCCCTCACTTTGCAGGTCAGCCCAAGTCCTCGCCCTCAGTCACTCTGTTCGCGCCCTCCACTGAGGAGCTCAGCGCCAACAAGGCCACACTGGTGTGTCTCATCAATGACTTCTACCCGGGCAGCGTGACGGTGGCCTGGAAGTCAGGCAGCACCACCATCACCAAGGGCGTGGAGACCAGCCAGCCCTCGAAACAGAGCAACGGCAAGTACGCGGCCAGCAGCTACCTGGCCCTGACGGCCAGCGAGTGGAAATCTTATGAGAAGGGGGTCAGCTGCCAGGTCACGCACGATGGGAATACCGAGGAGAAGACAGTGTCGCCCTCCGAGTGCTCTTAGGTCCTGGTCCTCACATCCTCAGGGGACTGGAGCCACAGGACCCCTGGAGGGTCTACCCACCCACCCTGGTTCCCCCAGCCCTTCCTCCTGCACCCAATCAACTCTCAATAAAATGTCCTCATTGTCATTCAGAACTCGTGCTCTGCTCGTTTTTCTTTCTGCATTTGGTGTCCTGAACTCAACCATCCTCAAAGGGGAACAAAATCCTCTTATCCTTTAAGAAATCAAGATAGAGGATGGAGTCTTGGGACTCTTGTGAGGAATGGTTTCACTGTCACCCAGGACCCCCCCCCCCCCCCCAGAACATTCGAGAACAGGGAATTGGGTCGCTGCAGGAATGGAAGTCTGTCAACCCTCCCTACCCTCTTCCATGTTTCCTCCTCCGTGTGGACCACCTCCACATCTGATTGTCCCGGTCACAGTGGTTGGTTGCCAGGGCCCCCAGGACAATACCTCAGCTCACTTCCCTGGAATCCTCAGCAACACATTCTGGTTTACTTTCCCCCTCAAGTGTCCTTCTGTCCATTGATTAAGACCCACTGATTCCATGTTTCCTTTGGTTTAAAACTCACCCTGGCTATTCCGCATGACCTCATCCTAGAGTCACCCCCACTGCACCCCCTCCCAGCCCGCTCCTGCTCCCACCTCCCCAGGGACACTGCCTTCTGCCCCTCCCCCAGGCCCTCACTGTCACACTCACAGGAACCTCCATTCCCTGACCCTGGTCACTCATCCCACACTCCCCCGGGTATCCCTCCTCCCACTTGTGTCAGGTGGGTCCTGCCTCCATTCAAGGCCCCAGGGCCGAGGTCAGCCTTTCTCTCTCTGACCCTTAGAAGTCAGCCCAGCACTGACTCCACCACAACTGCCTCATGTCCAAGTGTCCATGGTGGTCAATGGGCCCCATGAGCTCGAGGTCCGGCATCATGTTCTAGGAAGGTGCCGTGGGTTCGTCTGTGAACTAGTACACTTCTTTAGGAGCTCAGAATGGGATCAGAGACCCTCCCAGATGACTGTCCTAGGTGCTAACATAGGATCTCATAGCTGCACCTTTCATTGCACACACACACACACAAGTTACTAGAAACATGGCCCTGTTGGACCTGCCTCTAGGGCACTGGAGCCTCCAGAATGCCCGTGGCCTCGCTCTGCAGAGAGCACAGCTCCATCCCCTCAGGGTGCTAAACAGGCTCCTCACCCTCCCACCATGACGCCCCCCTCAAGCTGCTCTCCAGAAAGGGAGTTCCCTGGGATGTGATGTGACACCCAGACATCCCTCCTGCCCCTCCCAAACTGGGGATGGATGGAGCCCCACTTCCCAGGGGTGAAGTTGCAGGATTGGAGAGGTTTCCCCTTCCCTCCCCAAGGCCAGACTAGCTCCCATGACAAAGAGGGTGGTCCTGGAGCCTCGGTACCGCTGCAGGTGGGCCTGGGTTAAGGGCTGGGTGGCTGACAGGTGGGTTTATGTTCGAGGCTGTGTCACTGTGTGCGTGTGGACCCAGCTGACCATCCTGAGTGAGTCTCCCCCTTTCCATCTTCTTGGGGTCAGGAGTGACAATTGGGTAGGTTTTTCTGTTTTCTCTGTCCTGTCTGGGGCTGGGGTCTGAATTGCTCTGGGGCCTGTAACCCTCACCCTTTAGTCTGTTCACTGTTCTTAGACCCCAGTTGGGGACAGGATGGGGTGGTCTCAGTGAGCCTCTTGCTCCCGGTACTGTGACCCTGAGGTCTCTCCCGGGGACCTTCTCCTCTTGACTCCTCATGTTTCCTTGAGGGATAGTTTCACTCTCACCCAGAAAAGCCCAGAGAATATTCCAGAGCAGGGCAGCAGGACCCAGGAGAGCCCACCTCTGCAACTTCCCTACACTTGCCGTTCTTGTGTGGACCTCGCCCACCGCCGGCCCTCAGGCCCTCTCCCCCACTCCCCTGCCCCCAGGATAATATCTGAACTGCTTCCCTGGATTCTTCACAATCTGAGACTATGAGGCAAGAAACCCCCTCCCCAAAAGGGCAGAGACCTGACACCAATACAAATGGATGGATGGACATGCTGTATGAGGACATGGGGAGAGGGTCTGGGGGGAGGGGATCTTCAGGCAGACAGATGCCCCAGGAAGGATGAGAGGTCACAGCTGATGTCGGCAGCAGCAGGGAGCACAGGGCAGGAGGTCAAGTTATGAGGACGTGTGAACCTGAAGGGTCAGGGGCCAAAGAGGGTGCCCAGAGCTCCCATGATTAGGGCATCCAGGACTTCCAAGTGGGTCCAGTGGTTAAGACTCCGCGCTTCCACTGCAGGGAGCACAGGTTCCATTCCTGGTCGGGGAACTAAGATCTTGAATGCCACACAGCATGGCCAAAAAAAGAAATTAGGGCATAGAGATTCTCCCAACAGGATCCGGTAGGGTCTCCCCGTGCCCAACCTGGGCCCACCGCAGCCCTCTTCCTGCACCAAACAACTTGCAATAAAATGTCCTCATCGTTATTCAGAAATCATGCTCTCTGCTCAGTTCTTTTTTTGTCTCGTGTTTAATTTGCACCCTCTCCAGAATTCTGGGGCGGGGTGGGGAATCCTGGGCGCCAGTGAGAAAGTAACTAAAGGGAGAGGCTCACAGTCTCCTGGGTGGGGGCGTCCCCCAGGCAACCAGCCAGGACACGCCACCCATCCGCCCTCTCCTTCTTTCCACTCCTCCTCCAGCACAAGGCCGTGCCCACCCCCTGCCACCTTCCTGGCCGGAGCTGCCCATGGCTGGTGACCTCCAGATGAGCCCTCCCTCCCTGCCCTGGTGGGGACCCTCCACACCTCCCTGCCCCCGGCTTGTCCTTTCTTTCCAGTATGGCTGTTAGCATAACTGACTCGGGAACCTTCGCCCACGTTCCTCTCCCTCTGTGTCCTGCCTGGTCCCTGGGCTGGGCCACTCCTGGGGGCCTCCCAGCCCAGTCTCCGCCTCCTTCCTCCCTGGCCTCCTGCGGCCCCTTCTCCTCCTGGGCTCATGGGGAGGGACTTTGATCTTAGCTTCTGCTCTGGGGCACTGCTTCCCTCCCGCCCCGGTTAAATGCTCTCCAGGCCTTACCAGCCAGGCATCAAACCTCCCTCGGAGGAAGATCCTATAATGACACACGCCCTACGGATGGAGACACAAGGCCCAGAGACCCTGAGTGACCTGCCCACGTTCACGGCAGGACTGAACCCCATCCGTCCACCCGACCCCAGAGCTCAGCTCCTGCCCCCAGGTTCCCAGCCGCCCCCAGTGCCCTGCCCACCCTGGCCAGGCCCTCCTGACTCATCCAGCCTCCTCCCTGGGGAGCTCCGAGCCCACCTGAATCACGTCTCCCTCCCTGGGACCCACGGCTTAAGGGGACAGAGTTGCTGGGGCCCATGAGGGACCATGGGGGACAGGGGCCTTAGGTCAGAGTGGCTGGCTTCCTCATGCTCTGGGTCAGAAATCAGGGTCAGGGCACTGGGGGAGGGGCCGAGAGAGGGTCGCCTCTTTCTGAAGACCCCAACTCAGCCCAGGCTCCCAGGGAGGGTCACCGCAGGGCTCACCCTTGGTTGCCCCAACACCAGGAGGGTCAGTCCCCAGTAGGTGGCTTCCCAGGCCCAGCCCCCACCCCCCCACTCCCTGGTCTCTAAAGATGCAGGAACTGTCACGACACCTTCAGTCAGGGGCTGCTGTCCAAGGAGCTGTGGATCTGGGGTCCAGGGAAGGGAGCCCAGTGCTGAGCACAGCAGGAGCTCAGAGGCCAGGACAGCCCTCCCGCAACCCCCCAGAGCAGCAGGCCGGCTCCCCTTCTCCCCCACTGAGGCCCTTGTGTCTGCCTCTGCCTTTTCCTGCCAAGAACCTTTGGGGTCCCCACTTCCTCCGGGATGTGAGACTTCACCACCGCTCCTGGGGGGCGTGCAGAGGGGCATACGGAAGAGGGGCCCTGAATTCGGGGAATCTCAGGCCCCATGATGGACAGACGCCCTGCCACGGAGCAGCCACTGGGCTGTCAGCCGTGGGGATGCTTCACCCCTCAGATGTCCCAGCCCCTCCGTGAAACCTCAGAGACACCCCACTTCCCTGCGGTCACTGTAACCGCACCCCACTCCAGTCCCCTTCCCTGCAGTTGACACTGGGGCTGGAATCACTACCAGTGAATCACGAGTGACCCAACCCCTTCCAGGTCTCAGACCACTGGCTGCCAGTCACTTGCTGTTTCCCAAGTGCCCGAGCAAGCCCTGCCCCAGCTGGGACCAGTCCCGGCCCTGCCTGGTCCCGATACGGCAGTAACGGAGGACCCAGACACCCAGGCCAGCGGTCAGAGAGCTGGAAGGCCGTCTCTGGGGCCCAGCACCAGCGTTCAAGCCTCAGCAGCTCCCAGTTTCCCTCCCGATGGCCATTATAGGCCCACAGACATGATCCTGGGGAAAGAAAGAACCCGGAGGTAATGAGATGCCCAGACTCGAGGATGGCCTCTGTGACCTGACAAACTCCTGAGGATTGTACTTCCTCATATGAAAGCAGTAGGGCCACCGAGTGTGAGCCCACGACACAGGGCACTCCGGCAGGGTCTCTGACTGTGACCTCACTCAGTTAGCAGGCAGCCCCAGTGGCTTCCAAGGCACTCGGTCACTCCAGGTAAGCCATCTGGCTCACCCAGGCTGCCCCTCTCGGCAGCCATGCACCCACGCTCTGATCCTCAAGGATGGCACATTGAGGCCAACCCACGTTCCTGTCACCCCCTCCGGTCCCCCTGGACCTGTCTCCCACCCATGACCCGACTTGGGGCCATGTTCTCTCCAGCCACACCCTCCTCCCTTCAGCCCCTCACAGCACAGCTCTGGGGGCTCCACATTGCCCTCCCTTCCTGACATCACCCCATCTTTCCCTGCACTCCCAGGTACCAGTGACCTCCAAGGGGCCCAACCCGACCATCCCCTCTCTGTCCTCCCCACTGTCGGCCTCTGAGTGGATTTGAGAACCACACTCCGTTCTTTCTCTCTTGAAACTCCTCAGCCCCCAAATCCCCTCTCCTGGGTCCTCTTTCCTCTCCTCTCTCATCCCCTTCCCCATTTGTTCTGTGTTGTCACC